CGGCAGCTCGTTCACACCAATGTTGGAAAATGCATCCCGTAAGGTGGACTCCATATCAATCGGCGTTCTCAGCTCCCGGTTTACATCGTACATTGCTGTCTTCAACTGCTTGCACAAGAGCTTACGAATAAAATTCGATTTCACTTTCTCGCTAAACCGAGTAATCACATGAAACGGATCCCGTTTGACACACACTGAGTCACCGTAGCTCTTTTCAATGAGCTTTCGAACAGCGGTAGCATTATCACTAACAGCAAAACGATCACCATCCGGTGCAAACTCAGTCTTTACATCAAGAACTAATTTCTCCTCGTGATTCTCCGAACGCGCCAAACGACGACCCACTATCTGACCAATTTCATTTTGCAACAAGAGCGACATCTTAGCGTCAACAAAGTTCTCGTGCTGGCCTTGTGCGCAACAGACTTTTAAACGCTTGCAGAAGTTGACAGAATGGTCCATTCTAAAAACTTTCTTCACCACAACTTGCCTCATCACTTTTTCATACAGCAAGTCATACAGTGTACAGCTCAGTGGACTTCAACCATGCGTCCGTAAGTAATTCATGAGAGAGCACTTTATTCTCACGAGATAGCTCGTCAAGATAGGGGCTGTTGGCGCTATATAAGTTGGGTTGCGATCATGGTTTCGAGGCACCCCGTAAGCAAATAACGATAGCAAGTGGTAATACCGATTTTGACGCCTTCGTTCTATCTGAGAAATGTACTTGCGAGCCCATTCGGCAACATAATACTCTCGTGAATGTGCTCCACTAGTCGGCTAGAAAGACCGATCTTCTTACAAGAAACATAAGGCAGAATAATTATTACATCCGGGTTACGCTCGGTGTAGCATGGGCTCAACGTTGAAAAACCTGTAAAATTGTCAGAGCTGCATTGGGGAAAGCCGACTTCTTCTAAAACGTGCAGGAGCGTGTAATCCTGCGTCACTTGCACGTTCTGGACGGTGAACGCGTCCAGATGCAACACCTCGTTTAACTGCAACGAAGAGAGTAGAGAACGCACAAAGGCCGCATCTTTTGCCTTGGAACTGGCGTCGGACTAGCCCGAGGGACTGATACAAGTACCAGTCGAAGAAGAAGCCGTGTAGAGAAGTCTGTAGCGGCAGCGGGACGTTATCGCCTTCCCCAGAGGAAGAAATCGCAGAGACGTTCGTCAAAGCGCAGCGTATCGTCGTGATAGCTAGTGAACGTGCATGTGAGCACAAGTACAGTAGACGTAAGGATCCGTCATCTAGGCAGACGTTGGCGTGCTCAGACCCCCACAGAGTCCCTCAGCTCACCTCAGCGTCCCAACAGTGAGCAAAGTTGATTTCGACATCTGGTTTTGGCTCTTCGGTTTTAAAAATTGTGCTGCGGACGAGCTGTCCCACGTGGCTCTTCTTTAGCGCTTGGCAGATCTTCATCACCAATGAATCACCGGACGCTTTGTTCAGAGACATGTTCTCCGAATCGTCCTGCGTCCGATTTGCATCGGACAATCATGAAGAGATATATATCCCGACCGAGCCGCATACTGCGAGACGACCACGTTTCGCTGAGTTGACTCTCGCAAGATACCGACAGATTTCAACTGGCGCGAGTTCAGCATCCAGCCTTCTCTGTTACGTAACCGTTAACTCAGCTCGTGCACCAGCGTCTTCTTGTGCACCGACAACAACGGCGAGCATGCCTTCTCACTCGCACAGCCCGAGGCACCTCTTGCACGACCGCCCACGGGCAGAATTTTGTTTCTTCTGTGTGAATAGCCGGCAAAATCTCCCTCGTGTGCGCGATGGCTAGATGCAGTGTTCGGGCCGTCGAGCTCTCCACGCCGTCGTTCCAGATCTCATCTTCTTGTGTCTCCGCAACGTAGAGCGGCGTGCCATCACAGCGTGCACGACCATGTACAGAACGTGTACTTGGTTGGTCTTAGCCAGAGTTCAGCCTGCCCACGTTGTTGCCGTCGAGCGTTCAGGCATATATCCACGTACGAAGAGTACAGGGCTCAATATCGGTATGACTTTAGGTTAGGGCGTACTTGGTGTGCCACTCGCTCGTAGCGTCGATAGCATCGTCCTCTCCAGCTACGTCGACACGCGGAGCACCACATGGGCAGCAGCATGAACAAGTTGACTTCAACGTGTGCGTGACACAACCGTACGGTCCCGTATGTATTAACGCGCTGGTTTTCGAGCCGTTACTCAGTCCTTTCGTGTTCGCCACCGCCAGGAGGTAATACACGAACTTGTCACAATCAGAGCACAGTGTCGTCCGGTGTGGCCACGACCGCACCCGTTCAGCTGCAGACCCGTGAGGACTTCAACGAGATACTGACCAGGCATTGTGGGCGAGGGCCAGATGGTTAATGGTGATCTTCGCTCCAGCAGTGTCGTGGTCTCCGACTTGTATCTCGGGGCTGTGCAGTCTAGAACAACAAGTCGTAGCATCGAGTCATACTGGTAGTAGCAGGTAGATTCACACAGACAAGGGCAACGCACTCGATGGCATCGCCGTCGTCATATACTCTACCGGCCTTGGCAAGTTGGACGCCTCACTAGTGGACGTATCATAGTGCACTCAGTAGGCTGGTCATTATTGCTTCGTAGTCTCCGACGCTGGCTCTTGTGATTCTTGAGTCATGGCGGATGGGGCTCGGAAGAACTCGCCATACTGTAGCACAGTAGACCACGCCACACGATCACGTTGACTGGCAGCAAGTTAAACCGAATTCATTGATGAGTCGCACAGTCGCCACAGGCTTGGGAACTTTGAGCGGCGTGATAGTGGATGTGGTTGACAGGCCAGTGAAGACGCAAGACCATCGAACATCAAAGGGCACAGGTACTGATGTGAAGCAAGCAGTCGGCCGCAGTGTTTACTTGGGCGACACGCAATTGGGAGGACTTGAGGATGTTGGAGCCCTCCAACTGACTGGTTGCTGAAGAAAGATAGCCTTCAGGTCGTTGGTCGATGTTGAGTCTAAACGTGACAAAACCACACGGACAATTAGGGTGTGTAAAGTGTGTGTGGCACGATGTACAGTACTCACCGAGCGCGGAGCTAGGACGACAGTGTACCGATATTTCTGGTAGACGACAGAGTACCGGTACCTCCAGTACTTCCGGTAAACAGGTCCAGTAATACGAAGGGAGGAAAACCTTGGGGGATGAAGCTACGCCATCAGTCAAAGGCAGCGATCCGAGGCGCTTGCTGTCTCCGAGGCCGATTCGCGAATGAAGTCGAATGATCAAACGGCAGCTGTGCGCGAGTGAACGCCGACCACCCACTCAAACACTGTGTTTTTCACAACTCGCCAGGCATCCCATCCGGGTTTGTGCTTGTGGTTCTATCTATCGGTAGCACGGGCTCGCCGATCGCACTCACATTGGGGGTTCCTCCCTACTTTATACCTTGATAGCTATAATTTTCTGTTGTATCAGTTTTGACAGAGCGTTGGAATAGAAATGTGGTTGTAATAGAAATGTGAGGGCAACCTAGATAAGCAGATTTGGTCCAGTCTGTAATCCCATCTCGGTTTGTATCCTGCGTCCGACTTCGCACCCGTGGTGGGTTCCGATTACAGCAAAACCCGGGTTTTGAAAAAACATTCAACGTTGTAGACCACAATAATGTGTGAGACACACCCAAGTTGAAGCTCTCAATAAAATTAGGGAGAATAAAAAGTCCTAACACGTCCTTTTTGTCCTAAACTTAGACTTGTTACTACGTAATATGAGATTTTTCACCCCTATTGGAAGCGATAATGGGCTATGGGTCAAAGCCAAGAATATATTCCCAAGCTTTGTAAATAATCTTTTCATGACAAGGAGTGGGCATTGAACACCGTCGTTTTTCGTATGTATTGGCAAAACCCTCACGAAAAGTCTGATCGCTCCACGTTTAAACGCAGCTTTTATTCCGCGGGTAGGAGTATTTTAATTATGTAACCGATACATATACCCCCAAAACCACCATTAAAAAGACGGGAGGGACGAAAGGCCGCACGGCATATCACAAGTTACTTGGACGTGATCGGATCTTCAAGGAAGTGGGAAGGCCATGGCGGATAGCGCTGAGTGGGTGGCACTTACCGAACTTGTAGCTACGAGAATGCGCATGTCTGCTACGCTTCGCGACCTGCGTCGTCGTCTCTATCTGGAGTACTTGCGTTTTGAGAGGGAACGTCTGTTGCGCGTTCGCCACTATCTGACGGTCGGGAGTCTGTCACAACCCGTGTGGGCGCATTGGATGAATCTGTGGCACCACGGTAACGATCTCAACCTCATCAATATGACCAGTCTGAGCCAGTAAGTCGTAAAACGTCTTGGGATGCCATCGCTGGACTAATTTGAGTATTTGACCATAGTCGATCCTTCATGCTACTCATGGAAAGTTTTTCGCTCTTCTACATTATTTCCACGCACTACCCTAAAGGGGGCCGACAGCGTAAACTCCAGAAGATTCACTAAGTGCTGGGGCTGTTGCTCTCTTTTTATGTTGGATCTATGCAGAGTAATGCTCTTTGTATGATTTTTGGAGTTCCGCCGTCAACCCTCAGTCGCATTTTAAAGGAAGCGGAAAGGGCTCTGGCGCGGGCTCTCGTGGGTTTCTGCTGGCTCGTATAACGTGGCCCTCTTTAGACCGTCAGAAAGCGTGTGCCGAGCTCATAGCTCGTAGACAGCCGCTCTTGAGGTACTCTTGGGGGTTTATAGATGACAAAAACTTTAAAGTGAGTAATTCCAGCTTCCAATTAACCTATCCTGTTTAATACCGAATCTGTGATGTACCTGCAGGTGTTGCAGCCTTCCAACCCGGACGTTTAAAATGCTCATTATAATGGCTGATTACACGGCGTTTTTGTTACTGGAATTCTTTGTTTTTCTGCGGATGGCCTTATCATGTGGGCTAAGCATAACAACCCGGGAGGTTGGAATGATGGGGACATGAGTCTAGCATTTCGAGAGTGCCTACTCAATGATGGCTTATGTCCTGATCCCCGCTACGGGGTTGTGGCTGATAGCGCTTTGGCAAGCGGCGGAACCATTACTGGGAAAATTCTAACTCCACTGAAAGAAGGAGACTTACGCAAACTATTGCCGTCCGTGCGGCCAGTAGCGAAGAGGTTGTCTCTGGCGATTACGCTCGTTAGACAGGCCGCAGAGTGGGGAATGGGCTCCGTTGCTAAAGTTGCTACCATCGCCTATATCTACCCCTTCCTTCTGACAAAGAAGATAGGTCGATTCGCCTCGACAATCTCTTTAGATTGTCGAACTACAGGGTACGCACTGTGGGGATCAGTCAGATCCGCACTACGCATGCTCACGGCTGCGAGGATAGCGCTTAACAGAAGTAAATAAGATACGTATTAAAAGAAGTACGTACTTAAAGATCGTTCGTTAAAGAAGCTCTAAAACACAGTAGGCGTTGTTGCTTCCCACACTTGTTTATCTCATCCTTCATCTCTCTCATCAGCTTCTTCATCTCTTTCCTCGAGCTCACCTACTTTTGGCAAGTGGCATCATCATTTTGGAATGGCATTCTCGAGCTTCTGCACGTTCAAGCTCCATGCGATCGTCGAACTGACGGCGTCTTTCTTCTTTGTCATTCTGCCACTTTTCGGTTTGTGCCAACCGCACCGCCCTCTCTTCGCGCAGTCGGTCAAGTTCTTCTTGCCTCGCACGCTCTCTTTTCTCTGTCGCGTTTCTGAGCTTCGTCACGGGCTGCTCTGTCCTCGTGACGCCTCTGTTCATCAGTCTCTGCCTTTCGATCACTCTCTTCACGATAGAATACAAGAAGGCTCGTAATGTCGTTTGCGCCAGAAGTGTTGTGCTCCGCTTTGATGTTATTGATTTACTGGCCTATCGAGTCAATACGCTTGGCAGTCTTGTAGCGTTTAACTTGAGTGAATGTGTCGAATCCGAGATCGTCGGACAAGGTCGAGCGTTTGCTCAATTCACGCATGTTGTCTCCGACGACGCCAAGGTCGTGGCCTCCAAGGCGGCTACTGACACTGGAAAGCCTCGGGTTGCGGGCTTTCTCGCGCGCGTCAGCGACGGCGCGATTTGAGTCTCGGAATAGCATCGCCCCATCTACAGAAGTTACCGGTGTCGGAGTTGGCGTCGTCCTGCGCGGTCTACCTGCCACGCGTGTTGATATCTCCTGTGTGTTTGGCGCACCAGGGAGTTTAATACTAGATGGAACATCGTTTCGTGGTGGGTGTCCGTCTGAGTCTCCAGGATTCAGGTGTGCTTAAATGTCATGATTGCTATTCGCACTGACTACTTCCTCGCCGTTCACCTCATCCGCATAGGAGACGCCGTTGTCTTCTTCATCCAGTGCCTCATCCGAGTCGGAGAGCTCTAGTGCAGCAGTTAGCGTAGCATCAAACGTGCCTGAGCTCGTAACGGCGACGCCCAGAAAGCTCGAGTCCATGCGAGGGGACTGTGATATCTGCCTCAGTTGCGAAATAGCGTCTTGTTCTTGCGTGGCAGGCGAAGCCTCGTTCTCTTCGTCCGCACTCGCTGGAGTGTTTTGCCCTGATCCCCCGTCGTTTATAGTTGTAAATGGACAGTCATTGCTCATCTTGGAGAAGCCTCCGTGGAGTTGCGAAACTGGAGAAACGAAACTCGGCCTTGCGTGACCTGCGATGCTCGATCCAGGATCACCGTCATTGTTCGAATCACGACGAACACCGGCGCCGTCTGGGTCAGGCATTGCACCAGTGTTCGAGGAAGGCGGAGTGTAGATGGTCGAGCCAGGGAGACAGCTTGAGGCACCAGTGCCAGTCTCAGCGCCGTTATTAGAGCCAGAATTACCTCTGTTTCCCGAGTCCTCGTCTTCATCAGCACCGTCAAAGGTAGTGTGAGACCCCACCTTCTCTTCAATCTCCATCTGGATGCATATGGCCCACAGTATCGCCTTGTGGGCAGGTTTCACCTCCCCGTTGCCCGACGGCTTCGGCTTGTTATATAGGGTTTTGAATTTGCGACGCAGCGATTCTAAATTCTCTCGAGAGAGCTCCTTCCACGACGTGAGTTGTAGTGGATAGTTGTCCGCTCCCACTCGTTCCTTCCAATCGGAACGATTTTCTCAACATTGCACACAGCAACAGTTGCTCACGCACTGAGTAGTTGCTGTAGCCTGTTCTGCGGCCGCGCTGTGTAGCGGTTTGTAGCAGTATTTGTTAGCAACTACGCTAAAGAAAAATTCCTGGTGGATTTGCACGTACCGCCATATTGCCGTTCCGATGCCTTGTGTCCTTCACAGAAGATCGCGAAATGACAAGCACATCTTCATAGATACTAATATAACCTTAAACACTGAGATTTGAAAAAAATATATGTTGAGCTTTGTATTAACATCTGCAAGTGAAATACAGCTTAAAAAACCTAAATCACGGTGAGAACTTGGCTACAGGTCAGGAAGATGCTGGATACTTCTGTGTTGGCAGCCATCCCAGCCACAGCGGCAAATAAACCAAAGCGCATCACCATAAGAGACTGTGATCTCGTCTCCAGGGAACACGTCTCTGTCAGTGACAACGGCAACAGTGACATAGCGCCCGATTTGTACCTCGTGAAACGCAGCACAGGGATTACAGGCGTGGTTGGCGAGTCGAAATAGACCGCCAGCCACGCTGGCATCGATCCCGTATCGCTTTCCAGACTCGGAAGGCGTCTTCAAGTGCAGTATGTAGTCATTGTTTGGATACCCATTCGCACGCGGAGGACCGAACAGCTCGATGTTGCCAAAGTACTCACCAATTATTGTGTCCCTCGGTATTGCACGTGAGGCCACTAAGCCGAGCCCTCCTTTATAAGGACTCTTGCAAATAGTGATTCGTTTGCTCTCTTTTAGTGCGTTTCCACACATACCAGCGAACGAGCAGTTGTTGCGACAACAGAATCGGTTATTCTTTGCGTTCTCACAAGAGGCCGTAGTACACGATTGTTTGCAGCGGCACATTCCACCCATCGAAACCGAAGGAAACTTGCAATAGATCGGCTTGATCTGTGTATGTAGGCGCTCAACATCACGGGGCCAGCTGGCCGGTTCCCACGAGTTCGGGTCTTTCGGTGGGTATTTCATCTGGAGGATCTCAAAACCCGGTGAGCTGCACGTGGCTGAACTATCCAACGAGGCGACAGGCCTTGCGTCACATGGTGAAGCCGCTTGAGATGATTGGGAGCACCAATAACTCTGGGAGAAGGCCAAATACGAGTCGACACTGACGTCAAGCTCACCAGCCGCTTTAGCGTCACGTGGTGGCTGGAACCGTGTCGCATTCAGTGGAGAGGACAAAGAGAGGACCACTGACGCGTCTGAGTCGGAGCCGTCGTCCTGCCACATTTCCACGGTGGAAGCGATAGAACCCTCGTCCTATTGCATCGAGTTAGACGAGCTCACCTGACCCACCCTGACTGCCGCGGGAGACGTGCTCACGCCAGGCGCTCTTACTCGAGTGTTATCTTCACGAGAATCGGACAGCGATGCTTTCTTCGTTTGCATTGTACCAGCGATAAAGATGCCAGGTATGCTAACGTTTTGGTTCTCTGCCGCTGCTGAATCCGCCTCCCGTTGAAATGTTTTTGGGCGCTAGGCAGGATTCCTTTTTTTCTCGCGACCATCGCCATGATCTCCAGCGGTGGGAGATCCTTTGCGTTTAGCCCTCGCGTACATATCCACCGCTCAGAAATCCTGTATTATCGATCAGGAGTGGAGGGAATAACGTTAGCAAATTGATATGGTAGCCACACAAGGAAGTCAAAGAAATCACCACTAGGAAAGTCGATATAAAGCCGGCCTCGACTTGAGCAGCATCCAGGTTATTCCAAAATGAAGACTTCTCGTTTAGGCGGGGATTCGCTGAGCCGAAACCACGCGCACGCGCGCGCGTCCATGGCTTTTTAAGATCTACCACCATACAATTTGATACTTCTCGGTTGCAGCTTCAGGGCGTTGAAGATGACCGATACAGTTTACCATACGTACATTGATGCTGTTTCCACAAGAGGGTCACTTTTAAACGGTTCGATTTTTCTTGAAAAAAAAACGACGACCAAACAGAATTGTTTGGTCTGACCATTTTTTTGGTTAATCCAAAAATTCCCCGCTTTATCAGCTTTTTAATCGCGTTTAATACCACCTAACCCATCTATCAAACCAGTTTTATGTAGGTTTTGGAAGGCGTCCATTGTACCATTAGAGGCATTCAGAAGCACCGTTCAATGAAATCACGTAGCTAAAAACCCGTAGCGTCGATACCGCGTTTTGCTACGTGTTTTGAAAATAGTATTGCTGCTTCAGAACTACCGTTCAAGTAAAAACACGTAATAGAAACACGTATCTAGCCAGAGTGAATGTTCACGTATCTAGCCAGAGTGAATGTTCAACTCACAATAGCAACTTCAACGTTGATACCCGAACTAAGGCACTCAAGCTAATGAAGAGGCCCCGGTCTGCTGACGACGACGATGAAGTTTTGCTACTCTGGTTGATGCGACCAGCGTCCCTGCCGTACCGAGAGCGCATCCTTGTCCCTGAGTTTCGCCTGAACATCCTTGCAATGTCTGACAAGGAAGCGAAAGACCAGTTTCGCTTCACTGTGGGGGAACTACATCTACTTGCGCGCCATCTGAAGCTTCCAAATATCCTTCGTACACGGGAGGGAGTACGCACTAACTCCCTCGAGGCGCTGACCGTTTGCTTACGCCGCCTGGCATACCCACAGCGCTGGCTGGATATGGCTGGAATGTTTGGCAGGGCCCCGTCGACCTTGTGCCACATTTTCTACTTTGTTGTCGAGTTCATCGACAAGAATTTAGGAGATATGATCTACTGGGACGAAGAGCGAATTATCAGCAACTTGGATCGATACTGTGCGGCGATATCTGCCAAGGAGCCATTGGGGATCGAAGGTGTTTGGGGCTTTATTGACGGCACTATTCGCTCAATTTGTCGGCCGAGCAAAGGTCAACAAGCTATGTACAATGGTCACAAAAGAGTTCACGCACTCAAGTTCCAGACTGTTGTCACCCCGGATGGACTTATTTCGCATCTTTTTGGTCCCGTTGATGGCCGTCGCCATGATTTGTTCATGTTGAACGAGAGCGGATTCAAGGATGTACTCGAGAAGAACTCGAATTTCCACAACAAGCTGATCTATGGTGACCCAGCGTACGGATGTACAAACGTGTTCTGCTGTCCGTTTAAAGGCTGCCGTGTTGACGTCCCCCAACACGAACTGAATAAGGCGATGAGCGCTATTAGAGTGTCGGTTGAGTGGTCATATGGAGAAGTAACCAAATACTTTTCGTTCCTCGACTTCAAGCGCCATCAGCAAATTGCAACAACACCAACCGCCACCCTCTACAAGCTCGAAGTTCTATTCACAAACTGCATCACAATTGCTCGAGGAGGAAACAACAACTCAAAGTATTTTTCGTGCAAGCCACCAACATTCGACGAGTATTTTTGCTCTTATCAAAATGCAGACCAGTAGTTACTCCACGCGTAAGGAAATCCAACTAGTAACGACCAGGATCACAGCAATAGATCCACGTAAAAAAGCTGCGGCCTTACACCAGCGTTTGCGTAATGATATCCCCGGAGGTCTTCTGGGCATCAAGTTGAAGTTTCAGAAGAGCAAGCTCTTCTTTACGTAGCTCCATATCAGCTCGCCGTAGCGCAACCTCTTCACTCCATTTTTTATCACTCCTATCAGCTTCAGCTTTGCGGAAATCAAACTCTTTCTTCCATCGCTGCTCTTCATTCTCCGCCTTTACTCGCTTAAAAGCGAGCTCTTGTTGCAGCAACTCGTGTTCATCCTTATGGCGCTTGCGCTGTCTCTCAATGAACTTGACTGTTGCTGCGTTGACTTGAGCAGTTGTGACACCACCACCAGATTTAGTAGAGTCTGTCGAAGACCGATTAACTGATTCTTCTTCATCTAACGATGATTCATCCGCACTCTCCTCACAGTCACTGCGTTCATCTTGCATTGTCTGGGCTCGCTGGCAACGGCGGTTTATAGCTTGGTGTCGAAGCCTTTCACCTGCGGATTCAAGCCTATCCGACTTATCTTGAACTGCTTTCTTCTTTTTCGTTTTTTCATCTTGAAGATCACGCATAGCATCAGTGATGTCTTGAAGTAGTTGTTTATGCTCGGTGTACTCCTCCGCCACCCCCGACTTCCTCCGATATTGATTGTCTGTCGTTTTGAAATCCTTGAGGAGAAGAAAAAACGTTCTTTGATAGTTCTCGAGCTCAACTCCTCGCCCAAATGCTCGTTAAAATTGTCTGCCACGTCTTGGTAACGAGCCGTGACGGATCCGTGCTTTGCGGCATAAGGCTGGACGCTCAAAATCTCCCTAAGCAATGCCAAGTCATCTCCAGTCGTAAAATGAAACTTTTTCGCCTGATTGAACTCCTTCTTGTTGCTGTTGGGAGCGCTGGTCTTCTTTTTACCCTTGCTACTCTTCCGTGGGGTCTTTCCATGCGCTCTAGCGCCGCCAGTGAGTTGATTATCACTCGTAGAAGCAGCAGAAGAAGTCCACAAAGTGCGCGACTGCGTCGGCAAGCCAAGGGCAATCACGCAGTTGTGCGAGCACACTCGCACGGAGAGATCTCCTTCGTAGATGGCGTTAGAGCATATATGATGGACCTTCTTAGAGCAGGATGAACACTTGGTGACGTCTACGTCGTCCTCTTCCGTGAAAGCGCAGTCTGAGAACGAGCATTTGCCTCGCATTGGCAGGATCTGCAGCGCGGTCGTCTGCGTTGCTTTGGAATCTGAAGGACGGTAAGAGAGCCCTCAGCTACCGCTCGACGGAAGCCAAAAACACGTACGTTGCGCTGAAAATTTCAGCGTGGACCACACTCCGTGGTTTTCAATACCGAATTTTTAAAATAACGGTGCTTCTGAATGCCTCTATTATTTTACCGAAACCTTTAACAAGACACATCCTCACAATAGTGAAATAGTGATCCATGTCATTCGAGTACACTGGTTGCATGAGAAGAGTGTACAACAAGAGCTATGGACTACAGTACGCAGCCGTCCTCGACCGGGTTAAATGGCTACGTTCGAATCGATCTGAGGTGTGTGTGTGTGATGGATAAAGCAGCAGCACTTGGGCATCTGCATGTTGTGGGAATGGCTACATGTCAATGGAGCGGAAGGTTGCACTGATGAAACCGCGGGAAAATGGACAGTAGAAAGTTTTGCAGCTTGTTCTAAATTAGGAAATCGAAGCCAGGTCCTAATACTTTACGTTTGGGTCGTAGTTGAGTGCCCAGGCGGCAAAGGCGGAGGCTGAAGCAGACACACGCCTGAGCAAAGTCTGAGGCCGCTCCGTGACGGAATACACACGAGTTGAGCTTGATGGCGGTTGGTCCGCACCGGAAAGAGGTTGACGCTCGCCACGCTCCAAGTCGCTCGGGTACTCGTCGTCTTCATCGTCGTTGTAGTCCTCCACACAGCCACTGGCCAGCTCATCGAGGTTCACTTTGTCCTTCTCCTTACTTTGATGTCCATCCGGCACCAGAACCACCAGGTCTTCACTACGAGGTGTGCTCGGTCGATGGCGAGTCGACAGCAACGGTCTCTTCTTCGTGTCTTGACTGACTCGACTCGTGGACAATGGCGCTGCACCAGACATGGAGCCTTGACGCGACAGAATTGGAGACAACATCGAAGCAGCTGGAGCTCTTCCAGGCTCTGAATCCAGATGATCCACACTCTCGATCTTGTAATTATTCAGCACTCGGAACGCTCGTTTCCGCTGCAATTTCTCTTCTTGCCGTCGCTCGAGACGCTGCGCCGGCGTGTCCAACACCCACATCGTCTCGCCATTGGTGCTTTTGCTATCAATCTGCGTGCGAGATCTCGAGTCTTCATGCTCCTTCGCGCTCTGATCCTCTTCCGGAATCTGTTCCAGACCAGAACTCGTCGACTTGGACTTCGCCTGACGCTTCCTCTTGCCATGACGTCGCAGCTTCTGCACAGAGTGCGTGAGTGCATGGAAAACCTCCGAGATGTTCGAGTCGTAGTGCTTCTCAAACGTGTCCAGCTTGATCTTGTCGTTGAGCTCCAAGACCTTCTTCTCCCGCAGACTACACACGTGGATATCCACAACCGAGTCGCAAACACGGTTCTCCTCAGTGCTGCTACTCGTGCTGCCTACGTCCGAAGATCTCCGCTGCGTCGTGTCGTCTTCGCCCCCCAACTGTTTGCCCGATCCAGGCGGATCCGACTGCGTGCCATGGAACGACAAGAAGCTCGTCAGACTGCGACGTACGCGGTCGTGACGCAGCGCTTCGAGACGCTTCTTCTCCTGATACGCACAGAGCTTCTCCATCTTGTCCATGTGCTTCTCTGCTCGCTCCACCAGCACTTCCCACCGTTCACGTAGTTGCTCGGCTGTATAGAGCTCAAACTGGGGGTCATAGTGATGCTGCCTGGCTATAAGGCCATCCAAGACTCGGATCAGTTCCCATTTGGGCCCCACACGCTCCACTGCAAGCACCAGCAGCTCATCGTTAAAGCAGTCGCAGTGTTTGATCCGCTCGGTGCAATACGGACACAGGTCCTTCCAGCCCCACGTCTTGATGATCAGATACCACGCAAAGTCCAGCACCAGGCCCAGCAGAGACATCCGCATGATCGCAGCCAAGACGCCGAACCACATGAACTTCTTGAGGAAGAGGCAGCTGCGATAGGCCCAAATGTAGAAGATCGGCGCCTGAGCTAACGTCAGCAGGACCACGACCAACACCTGCAAGATAAACGCCAATCGGAAGGAAAAGCCGCTCAGATCGCCGCCACCTGTGGCCTTGGCGCGGAAATATTTGCGTCGTTGGCGGAAAATGAGCTTGAAGAGCTCCTTGAAGATGGCCTTGCCAGCCGACGGAAGGATGGAGATGAGGATGGCATACAGCACCACGGACGTGAAGATGGTGAGGTTCGCACCCCACGAATCGCGCAGCATGACGATGATGAACAGCACGTAGAACGTGATGTAGAGGGAACATACCACAATTAACGCCCGTTCACCGCGGGAAAGCCGTTCGTTGCGGTATGGGCAAAAGATCCACGTGAAGTAGTTTTCATGGCGCCACCACGTGTAGAACGGCTCGAAAGGCCGACGGAATTTCGTCCAACAGCACGGTCCGCAGAGCTTCGTCTTGGGCACTTTACGGTCCCAGGGCATGGGCTGCCAATAGTCCACTTCGTTCTCAGGCACATTCAGCTCTCGCGAGTAAATTCTCTCGATATTCTTCTGCCAACTTTCGCAATGAACAATCATCTGGAACACGCGTAGGCCAAACAGAGTGATGATCACGTAGGGCAAAAACAGCAACAAGTAGCCGCCACCGAGCCATCCAGACGAGCTGCAAGCCACTGGCATGGGGTTCACCGACATGTACGTGACGTTGAACGCTTCCCACGCTTCTTTCTGGGCCATTTTCTTCTTCTGGTCCAGATTGTAGATCTTCTCACTGGAATACACACTCGAAGGCAGTTGACCGAGTTGGCAATAGTCTGCTGTTGGGTTACGCTCGAGACGACACGGCTGCACGACGAAGTACATGGTCTCCTTGATCGTATTGTCGATATACGTGTGCGCGAGATACGCATACGTCGTGCGCAGTGTCGACCCTGCTGGGATGAACTCATACGGCTCACCGTCGACGTAGTGTTCGTACTCGTACTCGTTAAGCAGCAGCGCGTTAAAATACGAAGAGTTCGGGTTGCTGCGTGTGTCTGGACTGGGTGTTTCTATCGTGTATGTGAGGTGGAAGTCGACTTCTTCTAAAAAGTGCAGGAACGTGTAATCCTGCGTCACTTGCACGTTCTGGACGGTGAACGCGTCCAGATGCAACACCTCGTTAAGTTGCAAGGAAGAAAGTGAAATGCCCAGCCATAGCAGAACGCCAACTCCAATTAACAGCCACGTCCAGAACTGCACACAACCTCGACGCTTGCTGTATCTTGTACCCAAAAATCCGGTCCACGCGTGCTCGTGCTCTTTGACTACAGGTCGCTCCTGGATATACGACGCTCGTGGGGCAATGTGCGGCTCTTCATCCTCACTGTCGTCTCTGTCAACGTGACTGTCTCTAGGCTTGTCATCACGTCCAAGAGGGATCATGGCTGGGGTCAGCTGGATATTTGGTTCGTGCCCAATTGACTTGGAATAGGCAATATAGGCCTCCAACAGCTCTGTGTTGATCAACTCGTCTTCCATCTCTTCGTCGCTCGTCTCACTATCCGATGAGCTGAATTCTGACACATCGTGTGTCTCCGCTGACCCTGAGCGTCGAAGCTGAGCACTCAGCGACTTGTTACCGCTTCTTGACCGGCCATTCTTCCTCAATGACCTCTGTTTAAAGGCGTCAAACTGTACCGGTTGGTGCGTGTTGGCCAAGTGCACTAGCTCCTCAAATAGTACGCGGTTCTCTCTTCGTCTCGCCTTTTCGACGGGCGTCTCGTTCTCTCTATTCGGGGAGTCGATGGGCAGCGACAATTGCTGTCTCAAACTTCTCCTCTGTTCCCGTGTTTGCGCTACCCCGTCTTCTTCTTCTGTAGCGCTGGTCAAGGCCGACTCGGACGCTGTTCTGTGTCTAAATACGCGTCGGAGCAGCCCTTCTCCGCTGCCTTGTCGTCTTCGTTTCCGTCTGTTGCCTCTGTCACTGCTCATGGTACTACCAATGCTGCGTTGACTAGTGGGCTCCTGCTCGTCGTCTGTCTCGATGATCGCACCCGTAGCGTTGGACATGGGTCCAAAAAAGGTGTTGGCAATGACATGGCGATGCAGTTCGCGCGTGCTGCTGTTGTAGCTGCTGATACTCGGGTTGCTTCGTTCGCTCCACAAGTCATCGGACTCGGCGAAGCTGTGCTGGGCTTCCAGAGACCGCTGGAAAAAGCTTGAGGGCTCAAATGACGCGGAATTTGAAGGCGCAGGCAGAGCAGACGTTGCCGCTGCTGCATTCGCTGCTGCGATCGCGTCAGGCGATGGTGGAGGCCTTCCGCGCGATGTCATAGTGGGCGTCCCGGCTAATGTTGGAGAATGACACAAGGTCGCGTAATCTGTGGACATACGCGTTTTAGGGTTCTGAGGAATGGTCTTCCTCTGCCATCTTGTTGCTCTTTGATTTGAAAATTGTATGGACTTGTAGAGCCTTTCAAAAGAACACAAGAACTCCAAGAACCGCCAATCAGAGTCGGTTGAGAAAGGCACTTGATGAGAGTCACGGATTACGTACTAATGCACGATTACGCCATGTCATACTGTAGAATAAGCTCATTATTGAGGTACACATGTAAATGGGTACAGTACATATTTTTTGTTATTTAGCATGTTACTTGTACGTATTGTCAAGGAGGTCATTAAAAAAGAGATTATGAGATGACTGAAAGCTGGCTGAAGAAAAGAGATCATCCATGATATGCCACGTGAGACTTGTACATGTACTTGTACTGAACAACTTAGCTCGGTGTTGACACATTTCTACAAAAAGGTATTTGTACCGAATCGATGATGGGATGGAGCGAGATTTGGCGTAAGCTGAAGATCGGTCGCTTGGCGTTACGGTACGTAACAGACCGCACGTAATTAATTAATTAACTACATGTACACCTTCAGAACCGTGTAGAGCCACCCGTGATGGTTGCCAGTGGCAAACTGCCAATTTGCCACCATCGAGTGGATATTGCTCTGGATTTGCCGTTATTGGCTTTGTTCAGTGAGTGGCTACAGTATCGGCGTTCACGGCAACGGAGGTGTCACATACGATGTTCGTGTACATCTTCTCACCTTCAAAATGGCAATAATGTGGCAAAATGTAAATTCTAAGAATTCCCCATTTTTAAGGTGATAAGGTGTATTGTGGTTTCAGCCTTTTTGCCGCCTGTTTCAGCTACGCATCTCTGAGGGGGTCCGATTTGTAAACTGACCTCTTATAGGGATAGGTTGAATTATTTTGGAGGGCCAACTGAGTGACATCCTCACTGGCCACGGAGACAGCAAAGCAGCGGAGCAGGCAGCGAGGTAACCAGTGGCGCACGCCGTCGATAAGCTATAAGCGCATTACTTGGCGGGAAATGCACATTCATAACTACACCTAGCCTGTACAGAATGCTGGATAAGACGAAGGCCAGAGAAGACCCGAGGAGCCCACGGACATCGAGGGTTGGCAGCCGCAGGAGAAGGAAATACGCGTGAAGCTGCTTGGGACGCCGTGCTCACGAGGCCTGCACGCTAACGCACAGGTACGGTCCCTTTACTGCTTTTGATCAATGCTAACTGACGGACTTCGTACTGCTCAGAATGGCGCACAGAATGCGAAGGAAGTATATCAATCTTGTCGGTAAATTTATAGGTAAGTTGCAGTTGCATTGTAAGTCGTCGGCTATTGAGTAGCAGGCTTGAAGGATCGCTGTGCTAATTATGATTCTGGTCTAATGCCTAGATAAAAAGCGAAGGCCCTCATACACTACGGACATCATATTGGTCTGCGTAAAGCCTTTTACCGAGGATGAGCAAGCACTGTAATAATTTGTATGGACAACTTGAATTCGTATCGCCTAGCAGGTGAATATTTAAAGTTATCTGCCATGTCGACTAGCGGTTTCGATGGATCGAGCGACAGCAGTATCGTGCCTGGTGCCGGTGCGTCTACGGGGGCTACGTCGTCCTCCGCTCCATGGGCAGTCGATGCTCTCGGGCCGCCCGATGTTGGCCCTGCGCCGTTGCCAAGTCGAGCTGATGCAATACTGACTATACGAGTGGGAGAACCGCTTGGCCGCGCTCGTGGTGGCTGGAAGAGTGATGTCAATTTCGAAGTTTCTGAAGGCTATGCTGTTTTTAAGCTGAAGTGTATTGCAAAATATACTGCGCTCGTGGCGTCTCCTGAAGTATCGAACAAGCCTCTCGTACTACCAGACAACTCATCCGTTTACTCGCGGCGTGCGAGGAACGATGCTCAAGCCAAGTATATCGAGCTGACGTCTGATAACTTTTTGACAACACTTCAATACCGATGGAAACTACTCACAACCGATGATCTCCGCCACATTGGAGACTTTCGCTTTGAGGCGCTCCTCTACGTCAAGCGGGCAGCTCAACCAGAGCAATATCACCGTGCTACCGCGCGTCGCATTACCAATGCTCGAGTACAAAGGATATCTTACGATACAGCCAATGCAGTGCAGTTTGGAGCAATTACTTTACACCATCTTGATGTTGTGCATGCAAGAAGACCGGAGTCGGCTCCATTTGAAGTTCCTGAGGATATCACAACTACACAAGCAATGGAATTAGGCCGACAGCGAGAGGCTCTGCAGCAGCATGAAGCCGATTAACAGGCCATACCGGATACAGCAATTGTGAGCATTAGGGTCAATAGTTTATGGATGCCTCTGGAGGTCGACATTCTGTCACTTCGGCGTGCATTACGACTGCCAGACCACGATATATTCTCTCGCGGTATCTACCATGAATTCACACCCACTCAGCCAGCCAATTGAATGATGAACGACGAGAACCATGCCGATGACGAGCCCATGAACTAGAAGAAAACGCGAGCTTAGTGCAGTACGAGATGCATCTATCGAATATTATTCATCATTACAAAATTAAGCTACTCATCGTCTGCACTTCTTCGAATTAGATCGTCAGAAACTTGGTCTCTTATTCCAGTAGCCATGTAACCACAGTGACGAAAAGTGCCAAAGCAACCTTTATCTTCGAGACGCGTACACGCTCACATTGCGACTTCCAGAACCTGATCTGGATACAATGGAAAAACGAGATTAGCACGCCTTTGAAGCCAACGTTTTAGAAGGCCAAAGCACGGCTCTATCGGGTTGAGCTGTGGCCAATAGAGCGGTAAAAATATTAGTCTAGCTCCACACTGGTGTATGGCTTCTTGGAGCTCTGGGTAGGCATGGATTTTGGCGTTATCCATCACAACAATTGAGCGAGGAAGAGGCCACGGGTTCAAAGTTGGAATAATATGCTCCACTAACGCCTCGTGGAACTTTTCTCGCGTGAATGTTCCTTCAGTCCACTTTCATGCAAAAAGTTCTTGCACATCAAGCGCGGCTAGAATTGATAGCTGTGTTCCTCTTCGAAACGGTATTTTCGCAATTGCTTGGGTATTTCGTTTCGACCACCCATAGCGTCGTTGAGAATGGCGTCCGTCTTTAGCAGTCTCGTCCCAAAATACGAGCTGCTCTGCAAAAGAGAAAAGTGGAAGAAGCTTGGCGCGGTAGGCTTCAATTTCCGCAGGGACGGCTTCTCGTGCGGCCTTGAACAACACCTTTCGGCTGAGCTTGAGATCAAAATTGAGTACGCGACAAATTGTCGCTGTCGAGACTGTAGTTATTGCTGGAAAATGCGTGACAATGTGCTCACGTAGCTCTTCGATGAAAAAACGTGGGGTGAACTTGTACGTAAGCTTCGACAGCGGCAAGTACGTCAGGTGACCAGCGTGTGCAGGTCTGACGAGGCTGCTTTTCATCGACAATGCCTTTCTGGAGGAACAGGGCGTACCATCGGCGAAGGGTGCGCTGCTTAGGACCGAATAGATCAGATACGTATACAGTTGGCACGTCGTAGACATGCATCAGTGCCACCGCACGCCAGCGAAAGTCATCGCCAAAGGTCATAAAGGAACTTGCAATTATCAAACGTGTCTTTTGGCAGCTGTAAGAACTGCAATGCCGGGGGAGGGCTGAGGCTGAGGATGAGGCTGAGGCCGCAAGGCGCTCACTTATACCGTTTTGAAACGGCAAAATGAAGACTTCTCTACTTAACTGGCCTGAATTCGTTCTCTTCACCTATTCGCCTAACACATTTTGCACCATCGTGCTTGCCATATCGGAGCTGCTCGCTATTTCGGACCCCTTATCTCGGGAGAAGAGACCTCCGGTTTGCCAAAATGGATGAAAACCACAATACATGTAGTACATGATGTACTAAGACTTAGTACATCGTGGTCAGCATGAAGCCACGCGGAATTGTGGTCATCGTCTCCCGACGAGCACAAAGTACCCCGGGAGGCTCCACTCTTGAAGGCATTAAAAATGTCCATTCGTAGGTACACAAATTAAAATATTTCGCACGCATTATTTATCAGAATACACTGTTTCTATTGGTATAATCTTAAGTAGAATTCGTTGATTGGCTATATTGATTATGATTACTACACTGCCACATCAACATCGATAGAGGGAGTCAGCTCTCTAATCCCAAAGGCACTCGGTTCCTCGTTACGACCATTCGCCAATCGCTTTTGTATCGATGCCGTCTCCCCCGTCTTCCCGGCCGCGAGACGCTCAATTCATAAGCGCCGACGAGTTCGACGCAGTGAGCCAACGAAGCTTGGGAGCCATAGCCAGTAGCGACAGAGGGAGTCGACGGCGCAGACGACGCAGAGACACAGCGACAGAGCCAGAAACGCTCTCTAGCGCCGAGTTCCGCCGCAGAGCCGCATCGGAATCCGTCCCTTCAGACACAGAGGGCGCTGCAGCTCGCCTTCGGTCACTAACGAAGGAGAATTGCGCGCTATTTGATGACTTAACGCGACTAGCCGACAAGAATGAGCCTGTGCATTTTGACACATTCCGACAAAGTTCCACTCGACGCAACAGCAGAGTCAGTGAGGCATTGTATAGAGACAAAGAGGAGGAGAAACACGAAGAGAGTGATGAAGAGGAAAGTATTCAAAATGAAAAACTAGACACCGAGTTGCTGGAAGCCTATCTGGCTTACTGCAAGTCTATCGGACACGAACCCAATATCAAGATTAACGACGCGGAAGATGAGGATGACAGCGAAGCAGGTAAAGTGGCGGCGGCGTATATACCCGAACGGCCAGCTGTACCGGAGCACAAACACTTTTGGACGGATTTTATTGGGACCAGATACAGCAAACGCCGAGGTTGCGTACAGTTCTGGGCGTGGCTCGGTATCGGCGTGGGTGTCGTCATGTGGCTGGGCTTCTCGCTTTCCTCGCTTCATTTGAACGAGGTTCTACACTTGGATGCATTCACAGAACAGAACGTGCAGGTTACGCAAGACTACACGTATCTTCACCTCCTAGAGGAGGTCGACTTCCATCTCACATACACCATCGAGACACCGAGACCCAACGCCAATGCGAATCCCAATTCTTCGTACTTTAACGCATTACTTCTCGATGAAGACGAGTACGAACACTACGTCAATGGTGAACCCTTTGAGTACATCCAAGAGGGGTCGACACTGCGGACAACGTATGCTTACTTACCGCGTACGTATATTGAGAACAGGATCGAGGAGAGTATGTATTTCGTCATCCAACCATGTTATCTCGCACGGGACCCTACAAGCGACTATTGCCAAACTTCGCAATTGCCTTCAAGTGTGGATTCCGATGAGAAAATTTTCGATCTGGACAAGCAGGGCAAGCCTAGTGACAGGGCGGCGTGGGAACACTTTAACGTCACGTACATCTCGGTAAATCCCATGCCGGTGGCGTGTAGCTCGTCGGGGATTGTGGGTGGAGCATATTTGCTATTATTTCTCCCCTACGTCATCATCACACTCTTTGGGTTGCGAGTGTTCCAGATGATCACCCACTGTGAGAGTTTCCAAAAGAACATTGAACGTATTTACGCTCGTGAGCTCAATGTCCCCGAGGACGAAGTGGACTACTGGCAGCCTATGCCATGGGATCGCAAGGTTCCAAAAACGAGATTGTGTGGTCCGTGTTGCTGGAAGAAGTTTCGTCGACCTTTTGAACCCTTTTACACGTGGTGGCGCCATGAAAACTACTTCACGTGGGTGTTTTGCCCATACCGCAACGAACAGCTTTCCCGCGGTGAACGGGCGTTAATTGTGGTATGTTCACTCTACATCACGTTCTACGTGCTGTTCATCATCGTGATGTTGCGCGATTCGTGGGGTGCAGACATCACGATCTTCACGTCCGTCGTGCTGTATGCCATCATGGTTTCTGTGTTGCCGGCAGCTGGCAAGGCAATATTTAAGGAGCTCTTCAAGCTCATTTTCCGTCAACGACGCAAGTACTTCCGTGCCAAGGCTGCGGGTGGAGATCTGAGTGGCTTTTCCTTCCGATTGGCGTTTATTTTGCAAATATTCGTGGTGGTTCTCCTCACGTTGGCACAGGGACCCATTTTCTACATTTGGGCCTATCGCAGTTGCCTTTTTCTCAAGCAGTTCATTTACTATGGCGTATTAGCTGCAATTGCACGGATGTCGCTCATGGGTCTTATGCAAGACCTCGCGTGGTACGCGATCATCAAGACGTGGGGCTGGAAGGATCTGTGTCCATATTGTACCGAGCGCATCAAGCACTGCGACTGCTTTAACGACGAAGTGCTGGTGCTTGCGGTGCAACATGTCGGGCCCAAATGGGAACTTATTCGGGTTCTCGATACTTTGCTCGCGAAACAAAATAGTTACGAACCGCAATTTGCATTGTACACGTCGGAGCAACTGCGCGAACGCTGGGACGTTATCGTCGACAGAGCGGAAAAACACATGGACAAGGTTGAAAAGCTTCGAGCGTACCGCGAAAAGAAACGGCAAGAGGCGCTGCGACATGACCCTATTCGACGCAGCTTCACGAGTTTCATATCGTTCCATGGCACAACGCAAGCAGTTCACCCTGACGCGGAAGAAAACGAAAATGACAAAAAGCGTAGACACTCGGATGCAACAAGTGAAGAAGAGGCCTACAAGGATTCTTTTGACTCTGAAGACCAGTTGTGCAATCTCCGGGAAAAGAAAATCTTGGCACTAAATAGCAAAATTCAGCTGGACGAGTTCGAGAAACACTACGACTCGAGCATTTCCGACGTCTTCCACGCTCTCGCGCGCTCTGTCACCAAGCGCCGTCACCACGACAAACACGAGCATGGAGACGACTCAGAGCATGAAGAAGATACAGACAAACACAGTCCGAGATCGACCTTTACAACGCGCCAGAGCAGCGACAGTAGTGACGGAGAGACCATGTGGGTCTTCGACACTCCAGCGCAGCGTCTTGAACGTCGTGAAGAGGAGAAATTGCAACGTAAACGCGCGTTCCGTGTGCTGAAAGACTACAACATTGAGAGTGTTGGCGCGTCGTCAGAGCCAACCTCTGCACCTTCAGCATTGTCTCCTTCAGGCCCACAACTAAGACGACAAGACACGAGACGCATACCGCTGATACCGTCAAGGAATAAACCCGAGACGCCACGAGAAGAGGACTTTGTGATCCTCATGCCAGATGAACACAGCAAGAGTGACAGGAACAATAAGGATAACCTGGATACGGTGGCCAATGCTCGAGTGGAGGGCGACAACGACGACCAGCAGGACAGCGACTACTTCCCGAGTGACTTGGAGCGTGGCCACTCACGCTCTGCTTCCTCGTCCCAGGCAGTTGGTGGTAACCGCGTCTATGCAGTCACAGAGCGACGCAAGACGCTACTCCGGCGCGTGTCCACGTCGGCCGAGGCATTTGCAGCGTGGGCATTGGACTATGATCCAAAGGCCGCACAACAATTGTAAATACACAAGCGTTTTCAGAAATGCAGTGAAAAGACATCAGAACTTTGTTTAACAAAACCAGCCAATCAGAGCGCACAAGAATGATTGTTTCGCTTCACTTTTTAAAAAAAGCGTAACCTGTGTTTAAACTTGGCTTTATTAAGAACACTTAAGCGCTTTTTTCAAAAAAGCAAAAAAGCCGCTCTTTTTCCTCCACACAGAAGAAGCTGCTCGAAGCGTTAGTAGATCATAACCCGAGATGCAGGTTCTGCGCACCTTATCAAGCTCCGCGCGCGGCCTGCACATGCGCGCCCAGGCAGCCACTTCAGTGCGCGCCTTCGCGACAGACAAGCGCTACACGCCTGTGAACGAGGTGCCCGCCAGCGTGTTGGCGAATGTCAACTCGGAGACAATCTTCTCCCCCGGATTCGCTGTGCGCGGCGAGCACGCACCGGTTAAAGGCGCTAAGCCCGCATATCTGGATGTACAGGCTACGTCGCCCATGGACCCACGTGTGCTGGACGCCATGCTGCCATATATGACCCACGCGTATGGCAACCCGCACTCGACGACGCACGAGTTCGGCTGGGACGCCGACAAGGCCGTAGAGCACGCTCGCGGCAGCGTGGCCGATCTGATTGGCGCAAACTCGAAGGAAATTATCTTTACGTCGGGCGCTACGGAGTGCAACAACGCTATCCTCAAGGGTATCGCCCACTTCACAAAGGCCAAGAAGAAGCACATCATCACCACTCAGATCGAGCACAAGTGCGTGCTGGACTCGTGCCGTGTGCTGGAGACCGAGGGCTTCGACGTCACATACCTGCCTGTGGACACGAATGGCCTCATCGATTTGGAGCAACTTAAGGCTGCGATTCGTCCAGACACGGCGCTGGTGTCTATCATCGCCGTGCATAACGAGATCGGGGTGTTGCAGCCACTCAAGGAGATTGGCCAGATTTGCCGTGAGCGTAAGGTGTTCTTCCACACAGATGCCGCTCAGATGCTGGGCAAGTTGCCGATCGACGTGAACGACATGAACATTGACGTAATGTCCATGTCAGGCCACAAAGTGTACGGTCCTAAGGGTGTTGGCGCCATGTACGTGCGTCGTCGTCCACGCGTGCGCCTTGAACCCATTATCTCGGGTGGCGGACAGGAACGTGGTCTGCGTAGTGGTACTCTAGCGCCGCCATTGGTTGTGGGCTTCGGTAAGGCCTGTGAGGTCGCTGCGCTCGAGATGGAGAACGATCACCGCTGGGTGAGCTATCTGTCTGACAAGCTCTATCGCGGGATCACGGACCGTATCGAACACGTTGTTCTTAACGGTGATCTTGAGAAACGATACCCGGGTAACCTTAACCTTTCTTTCGCGTATGTGGAGGGTGAGAGTTTGCTGATGGCGCTCAAGAACATTGCCGTGTCCTCGGGCAGTGCGTGCACGAGTGCGTCGCTTGAGCCGTCGTACGTGCTGCGTGCTATTGGCGTGGGCGAGGACTTGGCACACACGTCCATCCGCTTCGGCATTGGCCGCTTCACAACGGAGACGGAGATCGACTACGCCGTGGACTTGTGTGTCAAGCACGTGACGCGTCTGCGTGAGATGAGCCCGCTGTGGGAAATGGTGCAGGAGGGCATCGACCCCAACACGATCCAGTGGAGCCAGGACGCGCACTAAAGAGGCAAAAAGTGGTGAAGAAAGCGAGCTGCACTAGGCGATTGAAACGGCAACGAACGACAAGACACAGCGTAGCTTAATAAACCGTTTTGCTAGTTGTCACATGTAGCAGCTCATCTCTTTGTAGCCATGTTCTGCGCGTCGTTCAGGTTGCAATACTTTTTTTTCATTACCCTCTAGCAGTGATGGAAGGCATTGTAAAGAACAAATTTGTATTGGAGTAAGCCATCACGTAGCCTCAAAATATAATTTAAATGGAATAGATGCCTGCATCCAGCGAAAATTCCGAAGAAGAAATTTACAAGATCCATTTTTTTCTTCAGCTATTTTCTTTTATTTTCAGTAAATATTTTTGTAGGATCCCTGCGTATTAATAGCATGCAATACTCACCGAGCGTGCAATATTGATTGCAATATCTGGCACAGCCTGCGCAACCATGTCAGCGTACCTGTCATGCTTCAAAACCAGCAACTTCTCGAAGTTGATGCGGGCTAACCCCAACAGCCCCTTTTGGTAGGACAAAAAATAGGACCAATTCTCACTTCTGTTGCTTGCCACAAGCAAATAAAAAAACAGCAATTAGATGCTAGGCATGGCCACCCAACACGTTAAGCAGCAATATAAACCCGTTTGTGATGAAAGCAACTGAAATCTTGCTTCGTGCATACCGACTGAAAGTTGGCGTCGTGAAGAGCTACGCAACGACGATTTGTCCTACATACCAGGCCAAAAATTTGTCCTTTTCCATAGGACAAAGTTTAAGGAGCACTTATTCCTGCTCCTGTAAGCTCAGTGATCGCCTACGCTTCTTGCTTTGCAAGCGCACACTCGGAGCACGCTGCTTTGAGGTATTCAGCGAGTTCCGCTGACGGTTTGGTGCGGTTCTAACCCGCGAGTTTTGTCTTGTACTCGGGAGAAGCTGCTCGGGTGCTTCACACGGCTTTGATAACTCTTGATCAGTGTGAAATCTGGTGTAGCACGACAGTTGACCGACCCAGCGCTCGGTACGACACAGAGCAACCCCACAGTCACTGCACTGATACCGCGTTTTAAAACCTTTCCGAGTATGTCTGGCATTTTCTTGGTCGTGCTTCAGCTGGCAGCATAGAACACAGTATAATTGTGTAGATTCACCTTCAATTAATATCTGGTACGAAGTCCACGGGTTAGAGCGTACATATATCAAAATGTTTCCAGATCAAATAGCCTTACGTGGTCGTGTTTCAATCGCCCTGATAGCCGTCGATTTATCCACTCCGGATCTCTGTCGTAGTGATCTCTCTTTTTGTAAGCAAAACCTCGCCTCGACCCCAGCTTATGTGTGTCATTTTCATTATCTATCGGAAGATTTTCCAGCGATCGCAGAACGCGCGTTGTGTCGGAGGTGGCAGGGGCTCCGAGGGAAAGAGCTGCATCACGGCAAAAAACCTTTAAAACTGGAGAGATTGTGTTTGTAGCTTTGGTACGAGGTATACGACAAACACCGCGTGTTGTCGCGCAGGTGGTCTTCCGCCTAGTCGTGTATACACTATGATGAAAAGGAATCAAGAAAAGAATTGTAAAGATCACATTACCTGAAAGAGTTGGTGTGACTTGTACGCATTATATACGAGTGTCATGAGCATTCGTAGCCAAATTGCCGCCGTCGGCGGCAGTGATAAATGGCAAGCCTTGGCGTTTTTAAGATACCGAGAATAAACGTCGATACCTCCCTTAATCCGATTCCAGTATGCAACCAACGATGGTAGGATATGCTTTGCAGGTGGCAAAGGACACCCTTTTTCATCTACCATCCGTACGAGAGCTCTCCACAAGTCCGAATTCTGTGCCAAGGTATCGAAATCAATACAGTGACCTAAGTCGCGCGAGGAAAACGATGGAATTGGCACAGATTCATCGTAGATCCACCTCATGTATGCTTCACGAATTACCAGCATCGCCTCATGGTATGTTCCACACATATCGTCTCCAACTGAAATATGAACCACACGAATGATCTTTGTCGGTGAGGCATAAACAATAAAGCCATCGCGAAGCCCACTGCAAACGATCCCATGGAGAATTTGACATCTGTGACTTGTATCTGGTATCAATTCTTTGAACGTCGTAGTACCGTACCAGCTTGCAGCCACCTCTACAGAGGTAAACACTCCAAACTTTTCCGCCAGCTCGTTTTCTTTCTCTTTTGTTCGCTCTACCACCCGTGTCTTATATTCCATCACAGCAAAAAATCTGCCTCGATTAGTGCAGAGAATCGATCCTATGTCATCTGGTGAAAAGGCAGCGTGAGGAGCTTCACGTCTAGAAGAATAACAAAAGCTTTATCCAGTAACAAATTCAATTGTTAGCAGGGACAACCCACTTACCCGCACAGTAGACCGTAATCTTTCAGTCGCTCGACATGGTAACGAGAATGTTTGTCGAAAAACTGTTGAATGTGATCTGAAATACTTGCTTCATTGTGTGAGCCAATTTTCATCGCAGCTGACGACGTTGGCGACATGAACCAAGACGACAAAAGTTCCCCACCAGAGGCGTTTTGATCCGTAGTGTCGGTCAAATTCCCATTACAAAGCGTTTCAACAAGCTCCTTTTTTCTGCCGGTAATTGGGAGGCCACCATCACGACAAAGCGACTTCAATTCTTCACATGTTTTGGCTTCTAGCTCTTGTCTAGAGAGGAGAACAGGGGCAACTACTTCCCCATTAGACACGCCACGAGAGCATTAAATTGACAGCAGCAATAACACCGTTTTCACGTGGGGATCAGTTACGGGGTCTTGCACTAGTTGTGGATCCGGTGAAGAACGAGCAATATGGTGAAAAATTCGACTAGCTGTCGAGCCTGTAATCCGAAACTTTCGCATAAGAAACCAGTCCGGAGTACGTTGTGTCTCCGTTAGCTTCTAGATGCCACATTCGAAAGCTTCAAACAAGTTGTCAATATTTGACACACTTTGCGTTTTGGTTGGGGTGCAAATATATGACCAGCGCCCCGGTCCAAAAGCTCGATCTGTAGTATAGCATGTGGCCACTTTACCAAGACCGGATCGATACGCTAGAGCATACGCAGTTCCCGCCGCAGTATCTGTCGCTTTTACAGCAGGAAGTTTTTTTGACGCCCAATACGCTGTTTTTACACCCTTCTCTGCAATTTCTCGTTGGTCTTTACCAGCTTTCTTTCCGTAGGTAAACGGAAAGTTACCAGTTCGCTTGTGTGTGCCAACTATTTTACCACCAACGTTATGGATGTGCTGGTTTACTGCAATGGATTGATAACCCCGGTCCAATGCATGAACTATACCAGGGAGTTTAATCCGGCTTTCAGTAGCGGCACCGCATAAAGACCGTTGTAAAAGCTTCACAACGTCTACAGTCTGCTCCCCACGAGTGGCAACATGCCCTCCGAGAAACAGTCCCGTTGTAAGAGAAACAATCCCATGCTGAACGGGTCCATACCTGTATACATCACCGATTTAAGCATTGATGAAGACGCAATATATTCACGGCATAATGTGCTTACCCCTTTTTTGGGTTTCGAACATGTGTCAGCCCCACGTCATCAACCAAATTAGACCGAAGGCGAATCATATCATCATCAAGCGAGGCAATTGATGTGCCTTCTACGAATCCGATTTCTCCACACAACTGTCTAATGAGTCCAGCCACATGAGAAATATCTCTATCAGGACTCATCGGAGCGGTCCATTGCTCTGTCATACCATCACTACGAGCTCTTTCCACTCCCAACGCATTCAATATTGCCATGTATCGCGTTTGCGGCATCGCGCTTTGTGCCGGGGGAAAGTAATTACGATTGTCTCGGTGGTAGAAGAATGTCGGCGTGACGGCATAGTAGCTCAGCCAAAGCTCCACCTCCACAAACTGCAGCAACTCTTTCACGCACACATGCCACTCCGGCTCCATGCTTCTATTCACGACGTTCTTGATTGCAGATAGTATGGATTCACCCATCCACGCACTTACTAGATCACCGACACTAGCTCGCCCAGACGACGACGATCCAAACATGCGCCGTCGAAGACGCGCCAAAACCGCGCCCGCTTCAGTACGAGACTTGATCAGCAGCGTGCGCTCAACATCGTTCACTTGCAGCTGCACTTCGCAGCTCTCCACGTCTCGCCATGTCGTTGCCTCAGTAGCGGTGTTCTCGTCGCTATCAGACGAAGAGCTGCTAGATGAGTCTCTCTCAAGCATCTCCTTGTAACGTTAAGGGCCTTGTAGCTGCACTAGCGCGCGCCAAGAGTGCGGTTGAAGTTTCCCTTCAGAGTGTCAAAAACGTCTTAAGTACGATTGTTTTTGTCCTTCAAAAGGACAAAATTCCCCAGAAGGCGGCAAACACTGACCAAATTTTGGTCCTTTCTCCAAGGACAAAATATGTTGGGGCTAAGCGCTTTCGGATCGGTTAGAGGTATTTTAAACATGTACCGGTACCGGTACCACTCTGGCCCACTTAATTTGGTTTTCAAGCATATCGTCCAAATTGTTTGAGAGTGACTATTACCAAAATGAGTTACTTGCGATTTGTAAGCCGACGGGTTTTCCCTTTAAAGTACGAAATAGGGAAAAAGGGGTGAAGGCCGACTTGCTCAACAGCACAAATCCATGCCTGTAGTTTCAGATACGTGTACGAAGCACGCGGGCTTAAACCCGTGACCAAACATGGCTAAACTTCGCTCGGCCCAATGGCTAATGTCCCGAAAGGTCTGGCTTTGGGTTTAGGAGGGTGATAAATTCACGCGAAGTCCTCCCCTTTTGGAGATTTAAAGTCTCATGACCCCCCCCCCCTTGTGGCAATAGTCTCTGTTTGTTTCGGAGCTGCCATACCTCGAACAAAAAAAAATATGTTTCACGTGTTATAATTGGCTGTTAATAGCAGCCGAAATTGTGAATGCAAAGGTTCCTTCCACGTCGACGATTTTGGGTAGCATTAGTTTTTCGGAACTGTTACTGGCCAGGATTATAATCATGGTGGTGTACAGGATTGAGTCCTGTATGCATCCAGGATTATGTAATTTAAAATTACTTTCCATCCCTTCTAATTCCAACTTTTATTATTTCCGGTCGAGGGAGAAATGGGTTCTCATTTTGGTTTCGCGGTCGAGAATGAAAT